TCAAGACAACAGAAGATGGCAACTGACTTTGCATTTAAATTTTTGAAAATGATAGCAAGTAAGCAGAAGGGAGTTCCATTGTTTGGAAGTGTGAGAAAAGAAACTGTTGGAGTAGGTCACCAGTACATTTAACTATTTGAACAATAAAAAGGTGGGACCTAGATGCCAATCTAGTAGCATGCTTAAATTCATGTAGTCAGAACACCAGGGGAAAAAAGATTGTCAGATCAGTTGCCATGAAAATATTTGTAGAAAAAACAGAGTAGCCACGTCACGTCTATGAAAAAGTAACCGAAGTCGAGATGCCAAGTCAGAATCAAATTGCATTGCAGATCCTTCTTTGGATTTTGTCAAGAACCTCATGATGAATAGAAGGGGTACCAGACCAAATATGGTAACAGTATTCAATGCATGGATGAATGGAAGATTTGTAAATGTGCAAGATGGACTCTGATGAGAAAAACCTTCTGATATGACACAATGAATCAACTTTCCTTGCAGTAGATGTAGCTAGTGATTCAGTCTAGTTGTTCCACTTCAAGTCAGTTGAAAGCATGAGGCCAAGAAGGTGCTGATAGCAGGCAGAGAAGCTTCTATATGAAATAGTGATTAGGTTAAATAATTATTGTGATTATTATATTGATGATTAGTTTAAATTTTTGTTAAATTAATATATGTATCTGTAATTTTGCTTTTAACTATGGACACACCTGATTTTTTTACAGACTTTTATTTATAGTGTTTGTGTATTATTAAAAAGAAAAATAACAGATCTATGAAAATCACTTTGTGTTTATTTTAGTTTTTCTACATATTTTTACGTTTTAATCATAGTAAATTTGTTATTTTGGTATTATCAAAGAATATACTGTTTAACTATATATTTTGATGTATTTTTGTTTTCTCTTCTCTTGAGAGCTCTTGTATGCTTCTTGATGTTTAGGCAATATTCTATAGATAGCATCTTTCAACTCTTTCTTTCTCCCCCCAACTCCCCAAAAAAGTGCTGGTTATAGGGTTCTCATCTATTTTGCATCATAAATGACAACTGATGGGCACGGATTTTGGGATTCTATTTAAAGGGACAAGTCACCAAGTTTAAAATCCAGTTATAGGAAATATGACCAGATACTATTATCAGCTTCAGCACCTTTGGGGCCAAGTTTAAAACTTATTGATATATAAAATTCTGTGACTTCTGTTAGTCTGGCCATCTGTCAAACCCTCTAAAATAGCCATACATTGACCGGTCAAAACCAAATTTTGGGGAGAAGTGCAAACAGGTAAAGGGGTTCAAAGTACAATTGGTTTTACTAGGGTGTATAGCTTAGTATAATAAATTTTCATTCACTTTTTGGGGAAAAATTAAAAAATTTTATTAACATACAAAATGCTCTCACTATTTTAAAAACAATTTAATGATTAAAATAACAGATATTTAGATTATTTACATTATTCAGACTATTGTCCTCATCTTTGTCGCCATATTTATTACAACCTTTCGGCCATTGTACGCTCCGACCTTCAGGTGGTTGGAATGTCGAACTGAACTCTTTATTTTGTTCACTGGGTAGACTGTTCTAGTTCCACGTGCCATGTTTAATGGATGTCAGTTATCAGTTATCTCCTGTTGATTTCCCTCTGAAAGTTCTCCACTGCCTTAACCAGGTATTGAACTCACACTCTTTGGGTCCTATCACTGGATCTAACTAACGCCTTTATCTACTGTGTATGAATTTCTGAGTATTACAACAGATATTTATTTAATAAAAATGTAATATTGTTTTTTGCATATATTTTCTTTTAGTTTTTATATATATTTCATGCTAGTAAAATATAATGCACATTAAATATAAACATAGTAGGGAGAGTAGAGTTCTTAAATCTCAACAAAAAATGTTGGTGATAATTTCAACAATTCTAAATATTGTGATGATTTCAATATGCATCAGCATGTTGCAAACAAATTCTAGCATCTCAAAATTTACAAAATATCAATTATCTACCATTAGGAAATTGAACATAGAGCAGGCTGCACTAACATTGGTTTTGTCTAACACTGCAAGATGCTATGAAACGAAAACATTAACCTAAGAACTTGAGTGGTATTTCTTAAATAGTCTTATCAGAGTTAGACTCTTATATGGATGTCATACACGGTGACAGACTCATTCAAAAATATCTTTGTCCTGGGTAAGACATTAAACTAGATCCGTGTCCTGGTTAAGACGTTAAACTATGTCCAGCAGCAAGGCCTCTGATCAGGAGGTTTTGATGAGCATGGAACCACCTCTTAATCGGGGTCGTAGCACCTGTTAGGGTCCCAGCTATGGGCATATAGTTAACTATTACCAGCAATACTTTTTTGAAAAATATTATTACCAGAAACAGATTTTTGACAAAACAAAATGTTACCAGCAATAAAAAATTTTGTCAGCATTAAATAACCCATTGAGGTTGATATACCGTAAAACAAAATAAACCAAACCAATCTAAACCAAAGAATACATACTCTATTCATACGAATCTATTCTAAAAATGTTATTGGCATTAAATAACCCATTGAGGTTGATATGCCGTTAAACAAAATAAACCAAACCAATCTAAACCAAAGAATACATACTCTATTCATACGAATCTATCCTAAAAAAAAATAACCCATTGAGGTTGATATACCGTAAAACAAAATAAACCAAACCAAAAATATCTAAACTGTCAGCTGTATACAACTGCTTTCTCAGATCAATGATTAAAAGTTCCTTTGAGCAAATGAAACCCCGGAGGTCTTAGAGAGGACCATACTTCTTTTAAATCTCATAGACTCCCACTACAGAATCACAAAGAACTGTACCAGGTAACAAAACCCTTATTACTTGAGTAATTTCAACAGCATCAACAATTAAAATGTGTAGCACATGTAATTTGAAGAGAAAATAAGGACATAATGAAGATGTTAACTTTCCACATTACTATGAACAAAAGATTACAATGGAAACCCCCCCCATCAATACTGGAAATAGCAATAACAGGGCACTTGAGAAACCTATTTTCCTAAAAAATTGTTTAATAGAAAGATTATACAAATTTCAACCAAAAGTAGCATTGGCTTTTCCGTCATTCAATGCTGGATATTTCCTTATAAGGAAACAGCTAATATTACCATTACCAAAACCCTTCAGGTGACTAGTAGTTATATTATACATATTATATTACTGATATAGTAGAACCATAGTGTACTTGAAATAAGCTTTAGAGTATAAAGGTCTGTAAAATAAACATTTCTGTAATAATTATTGAAAGATTTTATAAATTTTAATTGGATTTTATTTTTGTCATTGTGTAAGGAGTAAAAGACATTGAATGGTTAAAAAGAAGCAAATTACGACACTTTCAGTTAACTGGTGTACTCTTCAACATAAATGTGGTATTATGAAAATTGTTTTGAGAATGTATGCATATGTAGTTACTCTCCTGTACCAAATGTAATTACTAGCAGGGTTAAATTATTTCCTTCATTCCACCCACAACCCCCTAGCCTAGTGATTATTTAGTATTATATGCTCATTATTTTTCAAAACATTTCTAAATATTGTGATGATTTCAACATGCATCAGCATGTTGCAAACAAATTCTAGCATCTCAAATTCAAACCAGCATGTTTATTGAATTTCTTTAAAAATTCCTGGTGGAAAGTTTATTTGAACTGGAATGCTCATTTCATAAGTTGAAAAATGTTGAAAAAATACTACTCCAGACGGTACTTGTATTTGGTACAAAATGAATATGTACTCAAATCAATTGATTATATTGTGATTACTTAATCCACTTGTGTTGTTTTGATATCTTGAAATCATTAGTATGAGTTGTAATAGTAATCCGATCACAAGCTAGATAAACTAGATTCTCGGATTTTATTTTTTGTCATTGTGTTTAAAGGACTAAAAGACATTGAATAGTTAAAAAGAGGGAAATGTTTGACATTCTTTGACCAAGCAGTCTGTGCTGCTTTCAGTTGAAATTTATAAAATCTTTCTCTTAAAACAATTTTTTAGGAAAATTAGTTTCTCAAGTCCAGAAGCTATTATTGGTCTTTCCCAGTATTGATGTGTGCTTTCCTTTCTTGCCTTTTGTTCAAAGTAGTGTGGAAAATCAGCATCTTGATTATGTCATTATTCTCTTTTCAAGTTACATGTGCTACATATTTTAGTTGTTGTTGTTAAAATTCATCATGTGATGTGGTTTCTGTTATTTGGTACAGTTCTTTATGATTCTGTAGCACCAGTCCATGAGGTTTGAGGAAGGATGGTCTTTACTGAGGCCTATATGCTTCACTCACTCCATTTCTTTTTTCACAACCGTTTTCAATCATCAATCTGAGAAAGCAGTTGTATACAGCTAACAGTTTAGATATTTCTGAATGAGTTTGGCACTATACATGGCATTCATATGAAAGTTTTGATATGATGAATCTATTTCATAACATGACTCTTGTTCTTAGGTTAATGTTTTCATTTTGTAGCAGCTTGTGGTGTTGGACGAAACTACCCTTAGCACAGCCTGTTCTATGTTCAGGGAATATTTTTTCATATTCTTTTGGTTTAATTTGATTGTTTTGTTTTACGGCATATCAACCTCAATAGGTTATTTAATGCTAACAAGACTTTTATTGCAGATAATTTTTTTCAAAAATGTTTGCTGTTAATATTGTTTTTCCAAAAATCTATTGCTAGCAATATTTTTCTTCAAAAATATACTGCTAGTAATATTTTTCTTCAAAAATTTATTGCTGTTTACTGTTTTTAAAAATGTATTGCTGGTAATAATTTTTTACAAAAATGTATTGCTGGTATTAAAACCTATTTTTACACTTTCATAGTGTTTTAACCCAAGTATTGGGGTTAACTATTTGCCCATAGCTGGGACCCTAACAAATGCTTTTTTTCCAAAATGTACTGCTGGTTATAATTTGAAGCCACCTGTAAGTGCATGATTCTGCGCTTATGGTTAAATCATGTTGCAAATGCTTGTTCTCGTTCGAACACCAAAGTTAACCAGTGTTGAGCCTGGTCAGTTCTTAGATGGGTGACTGTTTGGGAACACCAGGTGCTGTCAGCAGACTTTTAGAATCCATAATTTTTCCACTTTAAATAACCCAGAAAGAGTTGATAAACCATTAAAAACAAATCAATCCATCACATGATTCTGCATTTTTTTTTTTTCACCTTTGCCAGATAAATTGAAAGGTATATTATCAAAATTTAAATAGAATTTTTTAGAAAGATATTTTTTTTTTTTCATTCTGTTCAATCTTCTCTGTGACAAACAAGGGTGTTTGCCTCATGTAGTTTCAAAGTGCTAAACCCAAATTTCATATTCCACAACCTGATCTGTCCAACTTCCATAATCTCAGAAATGAAGTACTTTTCCATATGAATATTGATACATATTTTTTCTTTGTGTATTTTTTAGCTTTGTAAGGTGTGCAGTGTTAGTTTTTTTTATGCAGAATCTCTCAATAGCAACTCCCATTGCGGTATAAAGAAAATAATGAAAAAAAAAAAAACAATTTGTTCTCGGTATTTCTAGGAGAATTATTGAAAAAGCACTTGATACCTGCATATCATAGTAGCCAGCATAGAGCTTGAACTGATCTCTCATTTTGATAATGTGCTATACTTAATAAATAACGAAGCTTCTTATTGTAACTTTTTTTTAATTTTATTATTTTGAGAGATTTTGCAGTAAAAAGATTGATTGCTCTGAAAGTTGTTTTTTTTTCTTCATGCCAAATATTTTTTGCCTATATTTATTGTAAAATGCCAAAGATAAAAAAATAAAAACACATACAGACCTCTTAGCCAAGTTCACAAAAGTAGAAATGAAACTTTTACAAATAGACTTGATAATAGAAATCAGAAACTACTGTTGATACTGTGATTGAGAAAATTTATCTTTTTTGGTAAAGGCTTTTAAGAAAAAGGGAAAAAAAATTTGAATTACAAACAAGGCTAGAAAAAGTTTGAACTCATAACCTATATAATAAAGTGATAGTAATATTTCTTTCATAACTGTGTTCAACAGATGCCAATATAGATAATAGCTGGCATATAAAACAAAACTTGACTGCCTCATTAAATATATCAATTACTGTTAATTGTAACTCCATTAATTCTAGCAAATAATGAAACCTCATATTAAAAGATTTGTGGTTCATTTGGTAGTGTTTAATAATCTTATTTTGTATTTTTAACATGGAACATTTAGATTATGACAAAATTTATAATTTTCTGTATACAAATATCAACCACTTAGCTAATAAATAAATTTGTTGAATTTTTACTAAGAAATTGTTAGTGTTCAACAACATACTTTGAGTATTGTCTCTTACCATTCAGTCTGTAGTGCAAATTTTCAAATTCATATTGACACACTACTGAATATATAGCTTGCAAAAGTCAGAAGTCAAGAGAAATTTACTTAGAAATTTCTAGGATATTAATAATCATAATCAGTATATTTTGTATAACAGCAATTGGCAGGAAGTATAGCCTTAACTCAACATTGGATACTGATAACCTAACTAGCTTTCTTAAATCTCTTTTGTCTCAGTTTAAAGGTCTACCAGTTTTTTCCCCCTATCCAAAACTCTCACAACATTTTTCTTTGGCAGAGAATTGTGATATTCCAAACGGTAATTGGATTTTCCTGGATTTTTTCTTTGAGATTTTGGTGATTTTCATTCTCTTCTCTAAATACACTCATCCAGTTATGATATTTAAATCAACAGTGCTAAAACATGAAGATGAATGCTCCAAAGTTTATGCAACATGTGTTTGATCCATTTAACATGGATGAATTTTCACATGTGTATCTTAATCTGAAGAATAATGTTTAACATAGAAAGTTCAAATGGCTTGTAAGTTGTGCATTCCATATTTTCAGCATCACTTTCAGGTCTGTATCTCCCATCCTATTGTGTCTATGTGACTACAACAACTTGCACTATAGTCCTGAATGACTACATTGTTGAATGCTTCATTATATATAAAAAAAAAAATCAGTTTTTTTTATTTTTTATTAGCTAGGTTTCTCATTTCTTCTGCTTGCTTTTGTACTTGATATATATCATTATAAAATCTGCATGTTCTTCACAAGTCAAGTTGTACTTTTTAAAAATAGTCATGAATTATGAGGCATGGTGGAGTATTGGATAGCGACTTGGATTGAGGAATTGGAGAGCTGAGTTTGAATTTCATTTGAATCCATTACATTCACTTACATGCTAATACCCTTGGAAAAGGTATGAATCCTCTTCTCCATCCAGTTACGGGCAAATAGCAGGACAGAATGGGTTCTATAGCCTTGGATGGCAATTGGCTTACCGCAGAAAGTAATGGCAACCTACTGTGGGGGTGGAAAAAAAATCTGCCTCGTCAGTCATGTATCAAAAGATACATGATCGGCTAAGCTTGTATCATGCATGGCACATAACTGATTGAGTCCTGAATTATTTCCTGGTGAATATTTGGCAGATCCCAAATATTCATACTTGTCTTTTATGGTGAAATTAACTGTGACTATTTGCAATTTTAGTATTAAACTCTAGTTTTAAAACATGTACTTAATGACTGGCTTAGCAAAAATAAAAAGTAATCTTTAAGAAAGAAAAAGTTTAAATGTTAAAACTGCTTAAAAAAAATAACTTAAAATTTCCCAAAAGTTTTGTTAAATGAATTCAATGGCACTAAATTAAAACTCTTTAAACATTTTTAGTCATTATCTTATTTTATTTTTTTTGTACAAACCTATTTCCTTTCTCATTCAGTCATTTGAAATTTGTTTGTATATACTATTACAGGTGTAACTTTCACTTAGCAATTATTTAAGAGTAGATAAATTGCTATCTCCTCCTCCTCCTCACACAAAATAGTTTCTGCATATTTGTGGTTACTTTGTTTTATGGGTAGGTCAAGTAAACTGTTTAATGTACATTATCACCTTGAATATGTGCTATCCCACAAGTCAGTCAGTAATAATGTAAAACAGTGGTAGGAAGCACGTTTTATAAAATATATCTAATTAAAAATAATTTTAAACCCATTTTGTTGTTTTTTAATTTGAGTAATGCACCTGAGAACATTTTTTGAATGATAATGGTTGACAAATCATAGCATTAATATTAATTTTTTTTTTTACAAACTGCAGTAGTAAGAAATTAGGCACTGTAGTTCACTGGATGTTTCACCTTCCTCTGCTTATAGAAATAGATTCTGTGTGATGTGTAGGGGTTAGCTAACGCCCTACTGTATTTATATTAACCACAAATGTAATAAAATAAACAACAACAAAAGAATAACAAAGTTCAAGGCAAAATATGCATTAACAATGAATAGATTATATTTATGTACAATAACAAGTACAATATTTGTTGAGTAATATTTTAAATTGTTTAAATGTTTTTGTGTTTTATGATTTGAATGTAAATAATATTTTGGATCAAAAGGTTGTATGTTGTTATAATGTTCAAATATAAGAAAGTATAAGGTATGAATCCTCTTCTTCTCCCCCCAGCTATGGGTAAATAGCAGAACAGACTGGGTTCTGTAGCCTTGAATGACAACTGGTCTGCCACAGAAAGAAATGGCAACCTACTGTGGGAAGTAAATCTGCCTAATCATTCATGTATCACAAGATACATGATCGCTCAAGCGTGTATCACACATGGCACATAACTGACTGATATTTCAGTATTTAGGCATTTAATGAATTTAAAACAGTTTATGTTTGCAAATAATTTGTGTAAATTACTGAGAGTTTGAAAGGGTTATCTTTCTTTGATCAGATATTTTATATTGAGTTTGGTTGTGTATTCAAGTTGTAAGTTTGTTTGAAATAATATATATTGCAGATTGAGAATTATGTTAAAAGTAGGTTTTTAATGTGAAGTCTGACTATTGGAATAATGACTGGCGTTGGGTAGAAAATTTCCCTCCTCACTGAAAAAGAATGATATAACTGTCACTTAAATAAGAAAAGTTTGTCACATGAGAGACTCACAATGACTTGGTGGGACTGTCTTTTCATTCAGTTGGAAAAGAAGTCATCTTTTATGTTTCACATTTAATAACCAATCAGAATATGTCATTCTGTATTTCTGCTTTGAGCCTATTTTAACGGGTTTTGAAAAGAATGTAGGATTTTGAATTCTACAGATGTAATAGGTTGAGATGCAGTGCAGCTGTGGTAGCCATGTGACAAAATGTAACACCATTTTACCATGGAACAATTAATGGGGCCAGAAAGATTGAATACTCTATATCTAAGGTGACTACTACTCTAGGGTTTTCTCGGGGGGGGGGGGAGAAGTAGCAATGGTATACTAGGAGGAAATTAATTCCAAACAGATATCAGTGATGTGTGAAAATTGTGGGCCCCAACAGGCGATGCAAGAACATTGACCACCAGTGACTAACAAAGAATAGTAACCTCCCAACAAAAAGAAGCATTGCATCATATCTTAATTTAGCTGATTAATATTTCATTGTGAAATCCTTGACTTGCATAATAAAATCTGGCATATCGTATAGGTAAATTGAGTTCAAATGTATGCAACTAATTTTAAAAGCATCTAAGCTGTGGAAAAAAATATTTACTGTTAAGATCTTATTATTATTCAACTAAAATTTGCAAAAGATGTTCTATGCAGATAAGATTTACAATTTTCTCTTTCTAGTAATGAAGGATTTTAATAAACATTCAATACCATGTTATTTTTTTTTTTTTTTTTTTTTTTTTGAAAATATTTAATCTGATTTTCATTCACTCTTAAAAATAGGTAAAAAGAAACTTATCAGCGATAAAATTATTCATGTTTTCTGAGTTTAATGAGTAAACAATTCACCCCCCCACCCTTTAACTACATGATGATATTTTGTATATATTTAAAGATAAGAAAATAGGCCAATTGAATTGTGATTTCAAATGTGCACAAATATTCTAATGACATGGTGTAAATCTAAAATAATCAAAAAAAAGATTAAAAATGTCAATTTGTGAGCTATCTTCTATGTGCTGTTTCCCTTTAAGACATTGGCGATCATGGCTCTCCACAAT